CGGTGGCCAGGAGCAGCCACTGCACTCCAGTCTGGGTAATAGAGTGAGACTCCAACTCAAAAAAAAAAAAAGAATAGGCATAAAGCAGATTCAAAATTGATTTAGATAAATTATAATCAATAACATGCTAGATAGGTATGAGTGTTTAAAAATATGATTCCTCTCCTTTCATTAAGAAGTGGGGTCTGTGTCCCCTCTCCCTTGAATCTGGGTTCTAAGATTGCTTGACCAATATAGAGGTGATACTGTGCCAGTTCCCAGGCCCAGGACTTAAGAAACTGGCAGCTTCCACTTTCTGTCACTTGGGATTGTTTACTTTTAGAACCCAACCACCATACTGTGAGGGGGACTAAGCAGCTTCATGGACATGTAGATGTTTTAGCCAACAGCCCTAGCAGAAGTCCCCGTTGACAGCCAGCCAGCATCAATGCTCAGACATATCAAAGAGCCTTCAGATGGTCCTAACCCCCCACTTCCTTACCTCCCTAGTTGCAGCTCTAGACATCATGGAGCAGAGGCAATCCATCTTTGTCCTTTCTGAATTTCTGACCCAAATAATTCATTAGCATAATATAAAATGGTTTTCTATGCTGATTTTGGGATGGTTTGTTACACAGCAATAACAGCCAGAACATGCAAGCACTAAAGGAATTAAGAATTATGGTATCCATGGAAATATGTCACCCAGATCTTCAAGAAAAACTGTTTGCTGCAAGCACACAGTTGATTCATAGCTGCCAACTCAATCCCACTGAATTCAGACCATGTCCATACCTCGGCTAAGCTCCAACCCCACCCCACTCATCTCACCTTACCTGCACTCAGCCAATAACAGAGCACAGAGGATAAGAATGCCAGTCTATTCTTTCTAATGTGAAACTCTTCCTTTTTAAAAATTTTTAAAATTTTATTTTATTGCAGAGATGAGGTCTCTCCAAGCTGCCCAGGTCTCAAAACCAATGACTCAGGCAATCCTCTCACCTTGGCATCCCAAAGTGCTGGGATTATAGGTGTGAGCCACCATGCCCAGCCTGGAACTCTTTCAATAGGCCACTATAACTAGGGGACTCCCCTTTGACATAGGTAAAACGTTTTAGAACTGCACTATAGCCTGAGAATCTTCCGACCCATTCCTCCTTCCTCTATTCTCCTTTATAGGAATCAGACTTGCATGGCAGTCTTAAAGCTCTTCCTCCTTAATGCTGCACTTTTATCCTTGTTCTTCACAATAAATCTCTTATGAATCTAATCGTATCTTCTTTTCCCTTTTTGAATTGGAGTCTCTGTCACCCAGGCCAAAGTACACTGGCACACTCATGGCTACCGTAATCTCGACCTGCTGGGCTCAAGCGAGCCTTCCACCTCAGCCTTCCAAGTAGCTGAACTACAGGCATGTGCCACCACGTCCAGCTAATTTTTGATTTATTGTAGAGACGAGGTCTCACCGAGTTACCCAAGCTGCTCTCAAACGCCTGGGCTCAGGCAATCCTCTTGCCTCTGCCTCCCGAAGTGCTGGGATTATAGGTGTGAGCCACTGTGCCCAGCTTCTAATCCTATCTTGATGTCTGCCTCTTAGAGGACATAATTGACATAAGGCTATTTTATGATAGGTCTATTATTTTGATATAAATGTACAGAAAAGTAACTCTTAGCCGGGCGTGGTAGCATGCGCCTACAGTTCCAGTTACTTGGAAGGCTGAAGTGGAAGGATCACCGGAGCCCAGCAGGTCGAGGCTGTGGTGGCC